GGGTGGAGAGTGGGGGGGGCAGGAAGACCCGCTGGCAGCTGCTATCAGAAGATGCCCTTAATCATCGTAAATTCCCCTCAAAAATGTGCCGTCTTGTTTGCTTTAATCGTAACCATCGATTTCTGACTTTACAGCGACTTTCCAAGGTTTTCTAGGTAAAGAGTTCTCTGAGGAAGCAGTTTCCCCTTCCATCTTTCTGGGTCACGGACGCTTCCAGTATCTGAAAACGAACACCTTCTGAGAGAAAGGATTTCATTCAGAAATTGTTAGGCCCTGCCTAGAAAACTTGTGAAAAATCCTAAAAAATTAAGTTCTGCTTTAATTATTCCTGTCCATCTTTAGTTATTTTTTGTGTCGCCTTTCTTACAGAACTGGGACCCAAAGCGGCTGACCACAAAGTTGGTCTATGCTGTCAAGTGGCTTTTGAGAACCCTATGGATTGATTGATTAGTTGATTGGACTTATTTGACCACCTGACCCTTATGGTTCTATAGTATTCTTTGTGTGGTTTCCAATATAATCATGGATGGAAAATGTTGCCACCCCAGTTAGTTGGGTCCTCCTATAGTTAAAGGTAGGGTGGATGGAAATCAGTGATTTAAAAATGATTTAAATCTAAAAATCCAATTTTAAATCAAATCCAACCTGGTAAAAAGACAATCGGTTTGTTGCATTTCATTCATGTTCACCCTCTCATAGGGTCAAATAGCAAAGAATTTGTTTCATTGGATTCTCTGACACACATGTACAAACAAATGCATCTTGCAAGCCAGGGCTCTGCCCGGGCAAAGGCTCTCTATGACACACCCACACTGGGGGACTCTGGGAGCTGTAGTCCCAACCCCAAGCTGCATGCCCATGCTCTGGCCTGGGCTGCTGGCGGCAGAGGGGATCGAACACTTGACGCCGGGGGAGGAAGTGAGGCCAGAAAGAAGTAAGGGCAAAGCTTTCCCAGGAGGAGCCGGAGCCGGCCTTCAAGAGGGAGCGAAGCGCCTGCGCGGCGTGGCTTGTGTCTCCACCCTGTATTCCTCCATCGCCTCCCTCTTTCCCCTGCGTCTGCGCCGTAGGGGGATCTGTGCCTGCTTCTCTCCTTGCCGCGCTTGCGCCTGCGCCGTGGCGTTTTCCGTGCCTGC